TTAGTACAAGGTGTTGGCACTGTGGAGGGCAGAGAGAAAGAGAGGTGGAACAACGTAGAGTTTAAACCTGTTTGGGGAGATGAGACACACAATAATAATGTATTGTTTCAAGGTGGTACAGAGACCCAGTGCTATATGAGTCCAGATCACTGTGATCTGGGGCCAGAGAAGGCTCCTTGAAGGAGGTGGGGCCTCCAAGGAAGGGAATCAGAAAGGAGGCGAGTGTGGCAGGCAGTGTGTACAGGACAAGTGTGTTAGGTGAAGTTGGGTAGTCTTGGGAGATGGAGTCGATTTGGTCCTTTGGTATTGCCCCGTGCCTCAGTTTCTCCTCTGTAACATGGAGATGATAACAGTAATTACCACACGAGGCCATTATGAGGATTCACTGATGTAATATGAGAAAAGCACTTAGCCAGAAACTGTAACGTAGTAGGCACTCTACACATGTCACAGATTGTTATTATTTTATATTATTAGTAGGACTGTGAGAGCACCTTGAATACCAGATCAGGCACGGGAGCCTTCCCACGTGGGTAACTGAGGGTCATTGGAAATTTGAGCAGGGCCATGACATGCTCTAAGAAAGATAATTTGTCTCTAATGAGAAGGGTGGATTGTAGACCCCTCCTTTTAGACTTTGCTTCAAGCTAAATAGTTAAAACATCTCCAGTGCTTAGATATGATAGAATTATCAAAGAAAAGCTATTTGAGTTTTAACCGGTCTCCCAGACAGTAGACCTATATAATATATTAAAACTTGGTAGGACTGTAATATGACACAGTGGGGAGTGATGAGTGATATATCAGGTTGCCAACCTACTGGTAGGGGTATTCGGCAGGATGACGTTGCTGACATTCTGGTATAATTAACTGCAGTTCAATTTTCTGATAAGTCGTGGGGTTTTCTTCCCCATTGTTTCTTTCATCTTCGCTTCGAACAGCTCTGAGACCCAGTGTGTCTCCGGCTTTCTCCTTTTCCTCGCTGCCTCTTTTTTCCTGTTCCATCTGAGGCATGAGTCAAGTAAGTTTCCCCCGCCCCATTTCTACATTGCTCCTGGCCCACCTACCTTGCCAAAGCCTTCAGACCATCCTTTCTCAGGGCTCCTGGTTCATAGAATTTAGCAGTAAATAATTACCCTCTAGGGGACACACGTAGGTGAACACCTTTGAGATTTGTTATATAAAATGATAAAAGGCTGTCCTCATTTTGAGGATGCTAGGTGCTCGAACTTTCTGGCCTTCCATCTTTGATTCAACCGAGTGACAAAAGGCCTTTGTTCCTGCTCCAGAAAGGGTCATATGGTAAGCGTTCAAAAGGTTGTCATCCAGACAGCTCAGGGCCTTCAGGAGACTTGGCAGGACCTGTTCCCAGAGAATTATCTCCTTTGGCTAACTCTCTATTTTATTCTTCTGGGTGGTCTGAGTGGGCCACTCATCAGGAACCATGCCTCTCACTGAGTACGGTGGGGAATTTTCAGCTGTGTTCACCATCTAGGAAAAATAATAAAGGTGCGGAGGAGGAAAAAGAATATGGGCGTTACAGAGAAACACCCTTCTATTCGATGAAACTGCTGGAGAATCTGTACTGGAGAATGAATTATTCATTCATTCCTCGTTCATTTGCAAAATGTTATTGCTTTCCAGGCGCTGTTACAGGTACTGGGGCTACAGCAGTGGATGAGACTTGGACCTTAATGGTTTAAAAGAGGCAGACAGCAAATAAATAAATAGATAGATGAATAAGATATATTTGAATAGGGATCATTCTATGAAAAAGCTAAAGTAAGGTGCCGCCGTGAGGGCAGGTAGTCATAGAAGGCCTCTCGGAGGAGGTAAAAGAAGTGAAGACCTGAAAGAAGCTGTGGATATGTGGGGCAAGAGGCTTCCAGGCCAAGGGGACATGAAGTGCAAAGGCCTGAAGAAGGTTTTTTGTTTGAGGAACAGCAGGTAAGCCAGTACAGCTGGAGCAGCATAATTAGAAATAAAATCCAAGAGATAATCCAAGGCCAGAGCCAGCACGTCATCCCAGGCTATGGGGGAAGGATTTGGGGTCTTATTCTAACCTTGATGGGAAGCCGTTGGAAGGTTTGGGCAAGATTCTCTTTGTCATTGTCCTATGATTCTGATTCCAGTTCTGCCATCGACTTGTCTGTGTGAACTTGAGTGAGGTCTTGGTCTCTCAGTTTGCTGTTAGGTAAAATGTGGGTAATAATGCTTATCGTCAAGTGACATTAAAAGAATTAGCTCTTGGTTACAAAGGACTTGAGGCCTTCAGATGAAAGGTATGATATAGGGTAATTACCACTGTTCTATATAGTCATTATTTTAACAGCTGTCTTCTTTTCGAAATGGAAAAAAACAACGTAGACCGGTACCCTGAATAGCAACATTAAAAAAAGCCCTGTTTCTGACTTCCCTTTTTGGTTCCATATGAGATTTAGGATACCCCTTTCTTCTTTGAATAGTACCTTAAAAGCTTCCCGGAAGTGGAAACCCAACATATATCATAGAATATTAGAATGAGAAGACGTCTTCGAGATCTTACAGATCTGTCATTGGGGCAGAGTCTGCTGTCTCTAGAAATGATTTTTTTAAAAATGTCCTTACTGTGAAAACTGAGTGCTTTAAGCCTGTAGGAAATCGCTTGGGGAGTGTGGCCCCCAGCTGGGAAGGCTGCTGTGTTATTTGTTCATTTTCAATAAAATTATTTGTAGGTCATGAAAAAAAAAGAGGACCTTACAGATCATTTGATCTGATCCCATCATTTTACAAGTGAGGAAAGAGAGAAGCCGAGTCTTGAGGACAGTTTCGCTGCTGGGGAGCAGGAATGCTGGGTGAGAATCAAGATCGTATGACTTTCAGGCATCTGCTCTCTCCCCAGATTCACGAGCTGCCTTACCTCAGTGTCACATTTAGACATAATTGCAGTGTTACAGGAAGTGATTTACTGTAATTTCAGATCCCTTTCCATCTCTATTGTGATGATCGTGCTTTGCTAATATTGGCAATGGCGGCTGCCACAAAACATCTTTGCTTGGTGAGGGAGCTGTACATAAAAAAATGTTGCAGGCTATAATTTGACTCTGTGCCACAGATGTTTTGCTCTGTGTTTTCCCTTCCTCTGTTGCTGGCTAAGGACTGTGCCAGTGGAGTCTACAGACTGTACCACTGAATCTATGAACTTTGAGTTTTAGATTTGATCATGGTTCAGATTCTAATCTGGTTGTAATTTTTTTTATGTTAACTTTTGCCTGGAAAATGTATTTTAATTTTTGTCATACGTAAGTATTGTGATAACTTCTAAAAAGTGGTGTTTTGTTCATTTGAAATCAGCTCATTATGTCATTTTAGGTCTTCTGGTTCCATCAATTTAATAACAGCTATGAACCACTGTCATGAAAATAAGCAAACATAAATATATATATATATACACATATATATATGATCACCGTTATGATTAACATTTTCCTTATATATGAATCTAGATTTCTTCATTATAGTTGCAGTAAACTTAAATGTGGGTAAAATGAGATCACACACACACACACACACACACACTTTCTGTGCCTTTGTATACTGATGCAGTAATATTTACCTGATAGACGTTGAAAAACAAAGTGGTATTTTCTACTTGGACTTCTTTCTGTTGATGCCATATAGCCCACAGGGCCCCTCCCTGAAATAGAAGCAGTAAGCATTTACCAGTCTAACCTGTTAGGGTGTTCCTCACACTGGTATATTTTTGTCATTCATTCTAAGATCAGTGATATTTGAACAAGTCAAAAATAACTACAAGCGTATGATTTCTTTTTACTGGTTTTCCTTAAAAGAAATGCCCCTTAACCTATTTCTATATTTTGCTTACTCTCATGCCATGGAGAAGTGAATTGTTGATATCTGAGATACTTTGCCAGGAGTTAAGTAGTTTTCAAGAATAATCTTGCCAAATAATACTCTTCCCATAATTAAAGTTCTTAAAATAGTCAGAGATCATACTGGATTATCAGATGGGTGATTGAAAATGGCTAGCTTAGGTCTTAAAGCTGACTTCTGTGAGTGAGACAAGGTGCATAGGAATGCATTTCTTCAATATGATCACCAAGAGGCTATTTCCTAGTCTGTCTTCCCATTCCCGCCCTGAAATGATTTTAGATCTCTTAACCAGGGGAATTTTACTATAACAAATGCTGAACACAGCTTGCAGTCTGTGGCTTACTGAAAGAAGCATAGATTCATCAGAGAGCTCTGAATCCTAACCCTAACCCTTTTTCCACTTCCTTCATCAGGTCCGAGAGTCTTTTAAGGGAGAGTAGAGGGGCAGAATAAATGAATCAGGCTGTCTTTTCCTCCTTTTCCCCATTGCTGTGGGCTTCGCTGTGAGTTGTAGCAACAGGCTACTCCTTAACTGTTGTGAATCCCTAATTTCAAGCGCGTGGCCCAATCACATTGGGCCTTTGGACTCAAATCTCAGCATACAGGGCGCTGAACAGCAACTGGTGGCATCTCACTGCTCTCAGTATTTCCCTGTGGGTGTGTTATAAGCTGGACTCTCGGCAGTGGGGACACTGGGGCAGCATAGGTGAGTGCAGTAAGATGTGCAGGTGATAAGTAACTATGTGATAGGGTGTGTGCGTGTGTGTGTGTGTGTATACACACACCCTTAGATTTGTGGTGAGGTGAACGAAATTATAAGAATCCAGTCATGGTTTGCAATTAAACAGGAGAAGGATGCTGTAGCGAAATGGATAGTGATTCAGATACAAAACTGCTTTATGAACTTTAAAGTGTTAAAACTTCTCCAGATACCTGACTGAGAGTAAACCACTTGACTTCAAGCTCTCCATCTTAAAACAAAATCAAGATAATGGTAATTCCTAATGACTTCCCCAAGTTGTCTGAAGATTGTCCAGATATAATGCGTGTGGCAAGCCCTTGAAGGTTTTTTGTTCAAATGCAATGTATACATAACAAATGTGTCACTGCTGTTTTTTCCCCCATAGGTGTTCAAGAGACGGTATTTTTACTTAACTCAGCTTCCTGATGGTTCGTATATTCTCAATTCCTATAAAGATGAGAAAAATTCAAAAGAATCTAAAGGTTGCATCTACTTGGACGCCTGCATTGATGTTGTTCAGGTAGGGTTATTGATCAACTTTTAAGAACCTCAGTATTTTTCTGCCTTGGTTAATGACATCTGCATCCACCAAAACATTCATACTAGCAATTCAGAATCCTCTTCAGAGTTCCCACTCTCCCTCTGTGCCACTATTCAAGTGTTTACCCAGTCCTTTGGAGTCTGCTCCAGGGTGCCTCTTGAATCTCTTACCTTCTTTCCATTCTCACTGTCTTCCTCTGGTTCCCCCTTTTATCTTGTCTTGCCTAGAGTCTCACCTTCCTGCCTTCTGATGTGTCATCCGGCTTCCTAAGACGTAGATGGGGGTCCTTCACTGGGATAGGTAGGGTGGGTGGGAGGGAGACGCAAGAGGGAAGAGATACGGGAACATATGTATATGTATAACTGATTCACTTTGTTATAAAGCAGAAACTAACACACCGTTGTAAAGCAATTATACCCCAGTAAAGATCTTAAAAAAACAAAAACAAAAAACCTTTTGGCTCTTGATTTATTGTCTTGCAGAGTGAGCTCGAAATCTCTTACGGGGCATTGCAGGCCCCCAGTGATTTGACCTTACTAACCCCATCCCCCGGCATCCCCATACACATTCTGTGCTCTAGTCACGCCAGGCTAAGCACTCCACTGAGTTTCACGCCTATGTGCCTTTCTTACATTTGCTTCTCTGCTTGGCATATACTTCCCCTTCTGTTCCTGTTTGAATCTTATCTGTTAAGACTTGGCTCAAATGGGACTTGTGGCATGAAACATTTTTTGTGTTCTTCTTCACCCTCATGGAATTAATTAAGCTCCACCTCCCCTGTGCTACCACTGTACTTAGCTCTGTGCGTTCCTTTTTGGCTTACAGGGACCATGTCATATTCACGTCTGGGTCCCTTATCGTGATTAGCAGAGTTGTACATACAGTAGGGGCTTAGCAAATGTTTGCTGATTTGAGTTACTTGAGGAGGCAGGGACATTAGGGTTAGCGTGGATGGGGTGGGAAGCCGAGGGCAGAGAGATGATTAAATAGGAAGTTGATTGACCGTGTGATAGGAGCCATTACTACAGAGCCGGGGTGGCCTGGTGGACAAGAAGGAGCACTGCATTGAGTGGAAGGCAGGAGATGTTGCTTCAACACCCTCAGCCTACCTGAATCTTAGTTTTCAGAACTGTAAAGTGGGATTAATAATATCTACTCGCTTTATCAAATGAGATTGTCATGAGGAGCAAGTGAAGACACACTTTAAAACATAAAAATATAAAAGATATAAAGATCTATGTGAATAGAAGTTGCCTTCTTTTATATATATATAAATGTGACAGCTTTCTTATCTACTGAAAGAAGGCGCATACAATTCCCAGATTTTCTCGATTAGCTCTAGTCCGGACTGACCTCCTTTTCTGGTGCTCCTCTATTTACGATTCCCTCCTCCCGAATATTTTCAAATATATAAATCTTTATGACTTGCTACAGCAGTTTCATTTCATTCTTTACTATGCTTTGAAGATGAGGAGGAACTTTCCTTGGTTCCTTCTTGAATGATGACCATGTGCTGGAAAATTATCGATTCATGAGCCTTTCTTGAAATTGATGCTGAGGTATTTGGGAGCGGGGGAGAGTGTGTCATTTCTTTTGTCATGACAGAGAAGGTGGTAATATAAAAGAGGTGTCATCGTGTTTGAGGAAAGGAAGAGGCTTTTATTTTCCTTGTATGCTAGCATTCAGCCTGGGCCATTTCCATCATTTTTATGGAGAGCCGCAATCTAATATGAACCAACTGCAGTCTTCTTTTATGCTCCTGTGATGCATTTCATATTCTGCATGGCAGAGTGAATCAGATAGTGATATTGCATTTTATGGTGTGATATAAAGCAAGTACCAGGTTTATTTCAGGTCACATTTAAGCTTGTTTTTAAGGGCTGATTTTGAAAATCTGTGAATATGCCAGGAAAACTTAAAGCAGGGTGGAAATAGTAAAACATTTGCTTATTTTTATGGTGGTAGTTTGATTATCCAAATGTGGAGGATGTCAGAAGGCCTTAAATGATACTACTCACTCCACGTGTAGTATTTTATGCCAACTTCGTGCATATACTGCTGTGCTCAGTACTGAGGGGGATAAATAAGATGTTTGAAATGGTCATTCGTCGTCTTGGAATTTCTGTTCCTTGTTGAAAGAAGCAGTTCTTTCATGGAAGTATTGACGTACATATGTGCTGAGCTGAGGTAAAAGTAAATAAACTAATGAAGTCTAATATTAAAAGGGCAACTAAACTAACTGAACGCATCTTCTTTTTTCCCCCCCTCCAGTGCCCCAAAATGCGCCGTCATGCTTTCGAACTCAAGATGTTAGATAAGTATAGCCATTATCTGGCTGCTGAAACTGAGCAGGAAATGGAGGAATGGTTGATAACTTTGAAAAAGATTATTCAGATCAATACCGACAGTTTAGTGCAAGAGAAAAAGGAGACGGTAGAGACAGCACAAGGTCAGAATTTTTAAATGATTCATTATTGAGGTAAAGCCCTTGTCTTTAATCCATGGGAATGTCCTTTGTGTAGAGTGAATATAGAACTCTTAATCTTGAAGGTTGACCTACTTCTTCATTAAAAGTGACTATGGAGGTTGATAGGGTTTTCTTTTCTTTCTTTCTTTCTTTTTTTTTTTTAAAGAGTTGATATGCTACATGGGCTCTGACATATGAAATATAACCAGACCGAAACAGATAGGGAATTCATGGCAGATTTTCAAAAGCCCATTAGAGTTTTCCCTGTGCTTTCATAATCAAAATTCTTTGCAATAAATCTAGTAGGACAGGTTGGGGTGGGAGAGAGAGATAGTTAGGATATTCCGCTTAGGTGATTAGTAATGGTCTGCATGGTTTAGAACATCTGCTTTTAATGAATTCGTAGATGATGAAACTAGCAGCCAAGGAAAAGCCGAGAACATCATGGCCAGTTTGGAACGGAGCATGCATCCGGAACTGATGAAGGTACATCTTTCTGATGGCGACTTGCCTTCGACTGAGACAATGCAGGATTAGCTATTAAAGTTTGAATGCTGGATTCCATGTGGCAATGTCATTTCTAAGTTAAAAGCCACAACAAATGAGTGAAACAGGTAGAGATGGTAAAAGAAAAGTTACACTCCTAAAGCTGGACCTGTAAGTGCCAACTAACAGTTTGGAAAATGTTATTTGTTTTCCTAGATACCAAGAAGTACTTCAAGACTTTAGTGACTTTATTGATTTTATCTGCTACTTCTTATTCAGTTCAGTTACTGTATGCCATTCATACACTAACTATGCTTCATTCAAGGGGCTCTTGATGAAGATTGAACGTGATATTCAATCTAATGATTTGTATATGTTAATTTTGTATGAAAATCATAGTCTTTCTATATGTGGCTGCCTATGTATATGTATATGAGTAATTTCATCAGATAAAGATTTTGGTTAACAGACAGCGTTTGTGTTAGTTACTCTGCTCTTTGGTGTTTGAAGTGAGCCAGTTTTGAAAGTGTAGAGGTGATTATCATACCTGTCTTAGTAGGTTACATATATTACTCTGTGGACTCTCTACTATAATAGATTAGGAGGTTATGACCCATTTCTTCATTTAAATCCTTGCCAAACCTATTTATATTTTTACTTTATTCCTCTTCCTGAACTATTAAGTTACACAGGTTTAGATGTTACTATTTTCTATTTGAAATTTAGCGCTCCCTTAAGCTTCAAAGCTGTTCTCCAAAATTTAGGAACACGCTCATGATCCCCTGTAGATTTTAATGTATCCCCTCTGAGTCTTTGTCATTCCAGACCGTAGAGCCCATTATGTTTTTCCTAAAGTGATGGAATCAGAATTGTGTATAATATTCCATGGCTAGCACCATGGATATATAAAAGATAATGTTTTCTCTCGTTTATTCTCTTTTACATCCAAAGTCTCTTGTATTTCTTTTTTGTACTATGGGTTGAACAGTATTCTTGGTATTATAAAGGGCATATAGAAAGTATAAGAAGCTGATCTATAGCTTATTTATGGATCATGGTGACTGTGACTCTCTGCCCAGCAAGCATTCTTTATCCACCTTAAGTGATTGGAAATGGAGAATAGTATATATATATATATATATATATATATATATATATTTTTTTTTTTTTTGGTACGCAGGCCTCTCACTGTTGTGGCCTCTCCCGTTGCGGAGCACAGGCTCCGGACGCGCAGGCTCAGCGGCCACGGCTCACGGGCCCAGCCGCTCCGCGGCATGTGGGATCTTCCCGGACCGGGGCACGAACCCGTGTCCCCTGCATCGGCAGGCGGACTCTCAACCACTGCGCCACCAGGGAAGCCCAAGAATAGTATATTTTTGAAGCTGTGGCAGATTGCTAGTTTCACATAAACTAGATAATTAAATGGCATTTAATACTGTTTTGACGGAAATGAAGTAATGTTTCGTGTTTGTGTGTGTGTGTGTGTGTGTGTGTGTGTATGTTTGTTTTAATTTTAGTATGGAAGAGAAACTGAACAGCTGAACAAACTCAGTAGAGGAGATGGAAGACAGAACCTCTTTTCTTTTGACTCGGAAGTTCAGGTATTAATGATACATTTCTTTAAATAATCCTAGAATAGTTGCTTATTCAGGTAAACAATGTCTGAAATGTTGAAATCACTGATTTTTGCACTACTGGGCATATCTGTTGCTTTATACTTGTCTTGCTTACTTTGAACAAGTAGCTTAACAGCTAACTTCACTAAGAGGGCTAGCGTATATACAAATAGTTTGGGACAACATATATATATATATTTTTTTCTCTCAGCTCTTTATATTCTTTTCACTTCATCTCACTCCTCAAAATGGATAAATTAAAGAGTCCTTAACAATGGTTTCAGTGCTTTTAACCCATTAAATACAATTGTGATCCAGTAGCAGTGAATATCTACAGTGTAAGGAACACCAAGTCATATGAGACGTGTTTATTTTCCACTTTTGATGTAGGCCTGTAGAACTGGGATAATTTTCATGTATCTCACTTTAACTGGAAAGCGGTGCAGGGAAGTGCAGGTTTATATGCACGTGTGTATTTTAATCTCTTTCATGAGAGTGAGGCACTTTTTGTACTAAGATATATAGGTAGTTAATATTTAATTCCATGATATTTTCTTTTTTTTACCTCTTTAAAAATTTTTTATTTTATATTGGCATATAATTGATTAATAATGTTGTGTTAGTTTCAGGTGTATAGCACAGTGATTCAGTTATACATATACATGTATCTGTTCTTTTTCATATTCTTTTCCCATTTAGGTAATTCCATCGTATTTTCTAATTAAATTGCCGATTTTTTAAAATGGAAAAATTCTGCAGTGTATAAATGTTACAAATATTTTTCCTAATGGAAACTGTTTCACAAGAAAATGAAATTCTTTGAGGGAAGATGAGTGTTTTGGTTTTCTTTTCAATTTTTCTACATGAGATTTCTAATTAAAATCTGTGGGATTTTTTTAATAGAAAAGTACGCATTATATAAGCATTACAGTTTTTTCCTCAGTGAAAATATGTCAATACAATATAAAATAATTTGGGGAAGACTGATTTTGTTTTCATTTCTTTTTGCTTCATACAGTTTTCTTTCTTTTTTTTTTTTTTTTTTTTTAAAGAGGAGCCTCCTCTGATTTATTTTAATAAATTTATTTATTTATTTTTGGCTGCATTGGGTCTTCGTTGCTGCGCGAGGGCTTTCTCTGGTTGCGGTGAGCTGGGGCTACTCTTTGTTGTGGTGCACGGGCTTCTCACTGCGGTGGCTACTCTTCGTTGTGGTGCACGGGCTTCTCATCACGGTGGCTTCTCTTGTTGCGGAGCACGGGCTCTAGGCGGGTGGGCTTCAGTAGTTGTGGCACGTGGTCTCAGTAGTTGTGGCTCGCGGGCTCTAGAGCGCAGGCTCGGTAGTTGTGTGCCACAGGCTTAGTTGCTCCACGGCATGTGGGATCTTCCCGGACCAGGGCTCGAACCCGTGTCCCCTGCACTGGCAGGCGGATTCTTAACCACTCCGCCGCCAGGGAAGCCCCCACTTCATACAGTTTTCTAACTAAAAGTTTTTAGTCTGAAATGGAAAAAGTATATAGTCTATAAATAATGCAAAAGTTTTTCCTTAATAAAATACCACATGAGAAAATAAAGTTATCTGGGGAAAATTTGTTTTAAACGTTCTCTCCCTTTTTCTCCATAGCACTACTATATTATTTGCGTAAGTTGTATGAATTAAAACAAAAAGGGGTATAGCAGGCCTTGGGAATGTTAGTTCTAAGATATTCATTCAGAAATTTCCTCATTCCAAGCATGTCTGAGCCTTTGATCCCACCCCTCATCATCATGATTGGGCTCTAATTGAACATGTCAGACTCTTTGATTGTATACAAAGAAGCCAATTGACTGTGGTTGAAACTCAATCTAGTGTCTTTAAAAAATCTGTGGTGTAGTGTTTTTGTGGTCATGGAACTGAACTGATTTTATGTTTGAGTTGTTTATCAGTGAGCTACAGTGAGAGAAAAATTCACAGTTGCAATGAAAGTTTGACAGAAAATTGACTTCAGTGTTGGTTATGGAAGGCAGTTTCACTACAGAGAAATCTAGGTTGTGTGTGTCGAGTACTTTTCTAGGTAGGCAGTGTCATCCTATAATATCGGCTGTCACTTTTGGCCAGAGTTCAGTGTTTAGAGACGTGTTTTCTTCCACTGACCGTAGAGAATAAAGAAGCACTGGGGAATTCCCTGGCGGTCCAGTGGTTAAGACTCCATGTTTCCAATGCAGGGGGCACGGGTTCGATCCCTCGTTGGGGAACTAAGATCCCACATTCCAAGTGGCACGGCCAAAAAAATAAAAAATGTACACGCCTAATAAGCATCCCCCAAAGAAGAGGCAGACAAAAAATTTTAAAAAAACACAAAAAACAAAAGAAAAGAAACACTGACTGAAGGGGGTGGCTCCAACTTTGAACTACTGAGGATGGCCATATGTCCCAACATTTGCACTCTTAGGCCTCAGAAGGGAAAGGATTTGGGGGCTGGGGGCGTTTAGTCCAGCTTCTCTTCACATTCCACCGTCTGAGTAAGCTAGAAAGGAGAGCAGATAAATGGGCGGAAATTAGAATTGATCTCCATGGCAATGACTTGCCTCCGCTGGCTCCACAGATAGATAAGTGTTCAAGAGGGAGCTGTCTAGTCCCACACATTTGTAGATAAATAGACTCTGGGGGGAAAATCGTGCTCTCAGGTACGAATATTATATTTTAGGCCCTTTTAAGGAGAATTTTGTCAGTGATGTAGGCAGGGTCAGAACAGCTATAATTATCCAAGACTCTTCAGCCACAATACCTGTTTTGGCTTGAAATACTCAGGCAATTGAGAAAAATTCTTATGTTTCTTGGCTTGAGTTTTCCATACTGGCAGTATATTCTGCTCGGATTCATCCAGTCATTTCCCACCTACCCTGTCTCTGGTCTTCTCGAAAGTATGGTAAGTTGTCCCACAGTATATACTTTTCCTCCCATTTGTGCACAGAATGTGAGTCCGTTCAGACCATTAGAATGAACAGATGAACTCAGATCTCCTGAGCCGTGTGAGCTGAGGAGGAGGATTCTGTGAGAGGAATTCTTTGACTCCCGATATCCTTTTTTATTTTTTTTTAAAATTTTATTTATTTATTTATTTTTTGCGGTACGCGGGCCTCTCACTGTTGTGGCCTCTCCCGTTGCGGAGCACAGGCTCCGGACGCCCAGGCTCAGCGGCCATGGCTCACGGGCCCAGCCGCTCCGCGGCATGTGGAATCTTCCCGGACCGGGGCACGAACCCACGTCCCCTGCGTCGGCAGGCGGACTCTCAACCACTGCGCCACCAGGGAAGCCCAGTGTGTAGTTTTATATAGGGAATTAAGGAAGGTCTTTCTGTGGAAATGCCAATTGATTGGACACTTGAATGAAATGAAGCCTCACGCTGGTGAGGCTCACCCTGGTAAATAAGCCTTGCAGTTATCTTGGGGGAAGAGGGTTCCTTACAGAACACCAAGTGCAAAGGTCCTGAGGTGGGATTATACTTGGTGTGCTGGAGAAATAACCAAGGAGGCCAATGGGACTGAACAGAGGTCGGGGGGAGGATAGGCGATGAAGTCAGAGGAGTGGGGTGGAGGGTGAGGTCGGGATTTCTCTCTATCTGTGTTTGAACCTTACTATAAAAGAGCTCTACAAAGCCTTGTTGAATAAAAAAATAAGAGTTCAAATGAAGAATGGACAGAGAACTGTTGGATTTTGCAATTTTTACGCATAGATCTATATTCATATAATATCTATTTTGGGGGGGGAAATGATTCATATTACGTATTTTGTAGAGGTTGGACTTTTCCGGAATTGAACCTGATATAAAGCCATTTGAGGAAAAGTGCAATAAACGTTTCCTGGTAAATTGCCATGATTTAACGTTCAATATCCTGGGTCAAGTTGGAGACAATGCAAAAGGACCACCCACAAACGTATGTATGAATTTTCCTTCTACCTCCATTAAACCAGTGCATTAAGGAAACTTCTTCCTTATTTTTTTAAGATTTTAAATTTTGTTCTGAGAACTAATTTACTGCATGCAAATTCCATTGCTACATGTTACGATAAATTTGACATGGAGGAATTCCATACATGTCTTTCTTTTGCCAGAATAGGAATGTGTTTTCATCTTGAGAGGATTCATGAAAGTCTTACCTATTCAAAATAGCAGGTAGAGTAGGTAGGCTCTTTACATTCAAGAGGGACATGTCTCCAGAGCGTGGAAAGTCCTCAAATTTGTAAATCCTACCAGAGAGTATGACTTCTGTGAAATTGACTCATAGCCGTGAGCAAGGAACACCAAAGCCATGGAGGAACACAGATGCTGTGCAGTCAGCTCCACCTCACTCACTATTCTCATAGGGTAAATTCATTCTGTTCTTCACAGAAAATTCTAATTGTTAGCTGTCACACATCATTTGAGCTGCTTAGGAATACTTGAAACTATGAATGTAAAATCGCCAAAGAGACTGCATTTTATGTTCATCTTTTTGGGGGTTCTACTTTGTCTTTGAGAAATATCCACAGTGATGATTTATTCTCTAACAAAGTAGCTGAGATGCACTAGCAGACTTTCGGTGTGTAAAGGGTTAATCTGTATGCCATCTGGCCTGAAATTTCTCTTTGTGACCAGCTTTCAAATGCCATCTGTGGAGAGGAATCATGTCTTCCAAAATTGCTGATGGAGCAAAGCTTTTGTCAAATAATTGGATGTTCACTGATATTAGCTCTTATTAAATGTATAATCCAATAAGCTGTAACATAGCAAAAGGGAAGATTTATTTCTGCTCCGTAATACCGGCATTATTTTGGGGTAATTTCAATAAGCCTATGGAGAATTAAAATTTATTCATAGAACAGTTGAAGTTCTTTAAATGTGGCTTCTGATTTCTCCGCGTCATTTTAAAAAATTTATAACTTGTGAAATTATACCTGACAGAAGTTAAAACTTGATAGTCTGTTATTTGGAATGCTCTTTCTTATATGCAAATGAGCCACAATGCAATTTTAGCTAAATGTTGAACTCAGAGGAATTAAAAAAAAAATTATTTTGTAATTTGTGTCCCTCCCCCCCCCCCCACCTAAAATAAAAGTCATAGTTTAAAAACGTAATGGTTTTCATTCCCAGGTTGAACCCTTTTTTATAAATCTTGCCTTATTTGATGTGAAGAACAATTGTAAGATTTCAGCTGACTTCCACGTAGACCTGAATCCCGCATCTGTCCGTGAAATGCTGTGGAGCCCTTCAACCCAACTGGCTAGTGATGGAAACTCAAGAGGTTCTTCACCGGAGTCTTTCATTCATGGAATTGCTGAATCTCAGTTACGCTACATAAGGCAGGTAAGGAATGATCTTTTAGCCTTGGTAGCGCATTCAGAATAAGAAACAGAAACACCCTTGGGTCCCTTCGTAGTTTCAGGCCAGTGTTTTCATGGGCATTCCATCTCTTGTAGGGTCTGTGTATAGATGTTTTTCTGGTGACTGAAGTTGGAGGGGAAAAAAAAGGAAACCAGCAAATATGCTAATAATACACTGGTGAAGTGAGACCGTGATGTGAATCTCAAAGGAAGTATTTTGTGAGATGGAATGCAGATGACACAGACACACCCCTGTACCCCTGCGCATACTTTTGAGCAAGGCAATAAGTACCTGTAAGACTCGTTTCTTTGAAGAAAAAGTTGACCCTACAATAACCTTCCCTTCCTAACTCCCATTCCCATTCTGAGTAGGTAGTTTTTTTTGTTTTTTTTGTTTTTTTTTGCGGTATGCAGGCCTCTCACTGTTGTGGCCTCTCCCTGTTGTGGCCTCTCCCGTTGCGGAGCACAGGCTCCGGATGCGCAGGCTCAGCGGCCACGGCTCACGGGCCCAGCCGCTCCGCGGCATGTGGGATCTTCCCGGACCGGGGCACGAACCTGTGTCCCCTGCATCGGCAGGCGGACTCTCAACCACTGCGCCACCAAGGAAGCCCCTGAGTAGGTAGTTTTAATGGAGCATAAACTCTCTTTATTCAAGGAGTTCTTGTGTCACAGCTGTAATGCTACGCTCCCCTATCCTATCTGAGGCAAAGAATGCCCTTTGGAAGGAGCCTAACAGTTCCCTGGCATTTTGACCTCTGACCAGACTGGACGCCATAAGAGGTTAGGCAGAGCAGAATTGATGGTCTGCCTTCTAGACTTTTGCAACTGAAAGGAAACTAGAGTGTGGCAGAGAATTAAAGTGGGAAGAAGCAGAACAAAGCAACTCGCATTGTAATGAGATTTCTTTTACCCTAAATAAAAATGTTCCTTTTTCTTCTGATTGTAAAAATAAATACATTATCACGTAGAAAATTCGAACAGTACAAAAAGTAATAAAGAAGAAAGTAAAAATCAGCACCTATAGACGATAACTATTAACATTTTGGCAAACATCTTTCTAGATGTCTCTGTTGTGTATATATGAACACATACACGTTATGTATACTCTTATACAGACTGTATCATAGTCATGCTGTTTTATACCTACTGTATTTATTCAGCATCATGTTTATCACCCTGTATCACTACCTGGATCAGTCACATTCTTATTAAAGGCTAATCTGTTATTCCACTGATTTAGCTCATTAGGATATTTCTAATTTGGGGATATCATAAAGAACACTGCATTATTGCATCCTTGTGCTTACGTGTTCGCTCACTTGTTGAATCATCTCCTTAGAATAAATTTCAAGCATTGGGGTTTTCAGGGTCAAAGATTATGCTCATTGATACAGATTGCCCAATGGTAGGGGCCTTGACATGTGCTGTCACTCACCTCTGGGCTGTGGATCTGTGGTCGTTTTTCCCCACGTTGCTCCTCATTCCCTTACATCCTCTTAGTTTGTTACTCAGGCTGTGGTTGTCACATACTTGAACGTTCCACTATGACGGCCTACGCCTCTAAAAGAGAGATTGAGCAAGACAGTATTACAAGTATTTGAGAACCTGCTATTGAGTTATATGTTTAAGATTTTCCACACAGTGTCAAATAAGTCCTTCTAAGCCAATGATGTATAAGCTGCCCGTCATGACATGGCTGGTAGTGGTGAAGGTGGGATTTGAGCCTAGGTCTGTTTGAAAGACCTCAGTCAACAACATTAGGCAGTATGTAATTAAGTGCTGAAGTGTATCACGCGATGGGAGCGGAGGAGTTTGGAATGTGAGGAGGGGTCAAGGGTCAGGAGTTGCCTTAGAAGACTGCATAGAAGATGTGGGACGTGAGAGAGGCTTCGAAGGAATCGGCAGCGGCCTCAAATGGCTTTATCATTTTGCACCCTTGTTCCAGATCAACTAAAGATACCAGGAAGCGGTCATTTGCTCCAATATTTGGACATTTTCTTTTGAAGAAGGCTTTTTCTTCATCTTCCTCCCATTTAGGACTAGGATGCAGTACTGTGTAGGGAGAGACTGGATGTTAGCAGATCTGAATGCTAATCTCAGCTCATCAGATGTTTTTCAGCAATTTTTTTCCCCCGTATTTCTCTAGGTACTTTATCTGTATAAAGTCATTTAATTCTTACCACACCCCCAGTAAAGTAGGTAGGGCCTATTCCTATTCCCATTTTATATATGAGGAAACTGAGGCACAGAGCAGTCAGGTGGCTTACTCAAGGTCACAGAGCTACTGAGATGAGGAGCATTCCCCCCTCTACTGCACTGCTTCCCTGTCACCCTAGAGATGGGGAAACAGCCTGGTTCCCCAGCATTCCTGGAAAGGGCTCTCTGGCAACCCCGTCACCTCCACCAAGGCTGTTCGAGGGGTGGCATGATCTGTAGAAAGAGGCCACTCCAGGGCTTGGTGGACAGTGGGGGCTGGCGGGCCGTTCTGCTCCTTGGAGCAACAAGGTGACCACAGGAAAAGGAGGAAGCTGGGTCCGTTGAGTAGTTTTGCCTTCCTGCCGCCAAACAGCCACTGTGATCAGTTACTTCACTCCCAGACGCCCTGACAGAGCTCAGTCCCCCGTGTCCCCCAGACGGACCTGTGGCTTGTGGGCTCCCCGCTGGGGGGCAGCAGGTGTTGGGCGCTAGTGGAAAGGGGGCACTCTGCCGTCACATGCCCTGCCGTGCTCTGGGGGCTAAGTGCTGCGGACTGGGCTGGGGGGGGGGACCTGGCCCGTTCTTTAGAGGGAGGGGGCAGTGAAGTGGGTGAGAGTCACCCTCCGGCGGGGGCAGGCCCATCCATGCCTCCTTGGTGGGACAGGAGGGAAGGGCCAGAGGCCTTGTCCTAAAGAGCCAGACTCCCAACCCACACAGGATTCCTGGGTGCGCTCTGGTTACCCTTCTGTGTTCCGGGGACGGGGGAGAGCTTGAAGCTGGTGGGACAAAAGGCGAAGCAGCTGCAGAGAGTCTCCCCCTGGACCGGAATCCTGGTCACTTGAACAGTGAGCATCTCTGTGCCTCAGCATCCTCATCTGTAAACTGGAGGTAACCATAGTACCTGCATCCAGGGTGACTGTGAGGCTCAGACAACGTGTGCTGTCCCTAGAAAGCACTCGGCCCTGTACCAGGCCCGCCGAGTTGGCTCAGTAAGATGTGGCTGCTATTAAGAGCAGTAGTAACAGTGATAACAGATAAACGAGTGAAAGCAGCTTCCTCTTATCAGTTGTCAAATCCTTTTAAATGATAATATTCGTTGCTCGCATCAGTGTGGGGAAATGGCTGGGGGAACAGCTGGAGTACTGGGCAGGGGGAACAATAGGCGCTCAGTGAATGTTAGCCGTGGCAGTAATTGGTGTTACTGTTCTCGTCAAGCTGTATCGCGTGAGATGTTGGAAGCCTAGGTCAAGAGGCTGAGAGGCTGCGTATTGTCTGGAAGCCCTGGCTGCAGTCTTCACCCACTTACTGCGTGAACATCTCTAAGCCTCAGTTTCTTAATCTGTAAAATGTGTATATCGTAGTGCTTGCGTTCAAGGGTTTTTATGAAGACTGAGGGAGATGGTGCACGAAAACTCTCTAGCACAGTCACGTGACACTCAGAAAGCATGAGATTGCACTCAGGGTGCACTGCTCAGCATACCTTCTGCGGGAGCCGCTCTAGCAGTCTGCCAGCTGCATGTCACAGCCCGGGCAGCACGCTCCTGGCAGAACCAAAAATCAAGTTCTGTGATCTTGGGATGCTTTGGGTTACTCTGGCAATAACCAGGTACCTAATGTGCATTACTTCATTTAATCCACTCAAGAAGATTACGAAAGCGCTCTTACTCTCATCACCCCCCATTTCATAGATGGGCAATCTGAGATGTAGAGAGGATGCGACTTGCCTAAACCCATAAATGGCGGGGTCAGCATTTGAACCCAGGAGATTTGACTCCCCGAACAGTTTTTAACCACTTTCTTCCATGCTTGCTGCTTGGGAATTCAAAGCTAAATCAGCCATAATCCGGGACCCTTAGAAGCTGCTGGATTTGGGGGAATTACTTAGCGTCCTACACTCGGTTTTCTCTCCTTTCCTGTCTACCTCAGAGGGTTCTTTCTGGAACAGATGAGCCACCGTGTCTGAAATGCTTTGAAAACTGGAACACACTATCTTAACACAGTTGGTAATATACCAAGCAGAAAAATAAAACTTGGTAGGGTCCCAGTGATGGATTTTTACACTTGAATTCATTTGTGTGGTGCTTCCTTAAGCAACGGACATAACCAACTAACAGGCTATTTGGAAGACATTATATTTGGAAGGAGCTGAACTGGAACAGGAGATGATATGCTTGTTCCACATGCCCTCAAAGAAAACTCATGGAACTTGGGTTGCATCTACATTAGTACCTGAGATAAAGTGTTTGGGAACAAAAGGAGTTTCGGATCCTCTGTCCTCTACCTTTACGCTGAGAGCACCAGGGCTCTTTAACTGCAACAAAGGAATGGTTTCTATAGGATGATTCAGTTTTTATGTTATACAGAGCAGCAAAGTATTTTCTTCCTTCTTAGCTACCATCAGTAGTAGTTAAGTGTGAGTGAATTGCCCTGGAGTTACAGGCAGTTACGTTTAAAAATGCATATCCGGTTCCACTTCAGAAATGCACGCTATCTTTGCACATGCCGCTTAAGCCAAACAATACACGCCGTACTGATAAGGCCTAAGGATGCACTTCGCAAACACCGCCGAACACAAGAGGCTAAGCAGCCAGGGTGACACCTGCGCTTTGTGGACTAATAATACACGTGAAATTGGTGACAAAATAGAAAATCCATTTTGAAAGGAGCATTGGGAGCCTGGGAAACTGTATGAAGCTGTATGAAAGGAAATGCTATCTATTGCCAGGGCCCTGGACATGACCCTATCTATGTTGAATATCAACATTCTGTGCTAAACACACCACTAGGAATCACTAACCAAACAACTGTATACATGAGGTTACATTCGAGAAAAGTCTTAACGGGAGGAATTTTTTCCAGGGAATTTTCTCAGTGACGAATCCACATCCTGAAATTTTCCTGGTCGCGAGAATTGAAAAGGTGCTCCAGGGAAACATCACGCACTGTGCGGAACCCTACATCAAAAATTCCGACCCGGCAAAGGTATTTATAAAGATCGTTTGTGAGCATTTCAGCCTGATGTAGAATTTGCCTTTTATTGGTATTTTAAATGGTATCATCAATGATTCCTCCCAAAAGAAAACAAAAAACAAAAAAATCCCGCAACGTTCTCGCAGCATGCGGTATTTTCTGAAAACGTTGTTTACTATGTGAGTATGCATGCTAAGGCTTGAACGTGACTTTTCCCCTTTTTCCTTTATGTCCTTTTTACATGACGATCTGATTTTTGCTTGTTTATCAAAGTAAGAGCTAAAGGCTTTTAGGCAACACCTGTTCATTGATACCGTATCCTTAGCAATAGCTACCCTTCCTTTACTCCCAGCCCTGCAATACAGGCTTAGAATGTCAGAGCTGGGAGGATAAAAATGACCCAGTCCTGCAGTTTCCAAATGCCAGTCTGTACTCAAATTTACTCCTATCTGTGATGAAATGAGAAAAGAGAGACAAGATAGTGAGCCGTTCATGAAACTTCAATGTATTTTATTCGAAGGGCTGTCCTTTATTCTGAGATTTTTGCCCTTCCTACCTTTTAGACATTACACCTGTCTGTCTTTCCTGAAATGTTGGCGTATGAAATGGCAGGGATTGTTTTTTTACCATCCAGGGGCTTTAAATGGCAGCCTTCAAAGTCGGCGACCCATAGAATCATCCAAATTTCTGGATCATGAATTCCAAACTTTTGGAAATTATTGATCTAATTCTCTCGTCTCATTTTATAAATGAGAAAAGTGAGGCCCAGAGAGGGAAAGCATTTGTGGCACAGTTCACTAGCGGCACTCCAGCTGCTGAGTATTTATAAGAGTCGATCTGTTATATGCAGCATTTAGCTGTGTGTCCAAATAGTGTTTATTAAGTGGGAGATGCTGAGGAGACCTATGACTAATTTGTGGGAAAAGAAACTCTGAACAGTATAGATAAAAGCCTCTAGCATTTTGTATCCCTAGGGGTGAGCTTACAGCCAGCGTTTTCACAGCCTGTTTAGACTCTGTAGGCAGTTAATCTCCTTTGCCATCTCCCAGTGCCTGTGCAAACAGCAATTCCTGCCCACGCTAAACTAATTGCATTGATTCTTGGTCATTTATTTGGCTTTTATCTTGGGAGTAAAAAGGTCAGCAGTACCTAGAACAAACTTCTCCCAAGAATGATGAGTGTCTGCCTGCTCACGTTGTGAAAGGAAATACACATTAAAACTGCTTAAATTTTCCCAGTAGTGGTCTTTGGTGCAAAACATGCCCTACATCTATTTTGTCTGTCTTCTGATATCTCGATGAGGGCTTTGTTGATGAGAAAACACAGAACCTTTAGGAAATACTTTCATCTTGAAAAGTGGGTGGCTGATGTGTGTTGTGTTTTACCTGTAGCTATTTCTATATATTGTTTCCCTAGATTTTGATGTTTTATATCAGTGAGTTGGGGCAATTATTTTTCTGGGTGAGTCCCTGGTAGTTTGAACAAATATGATCTTGTCTTCTTATTTCTGCCCTTAGACAGCCCAGAAGGTGCACAGGACAGCTAAGCAAGTGTGTAGCCGCCTTGGACAATACAGAATGCCCTTTGCTTGGGCTGCCAGGTTTGTACAAATATAATCCTGACCCATCTATTCACGCTCATATGTAAAGTTGAGGGCTGTCGTCTTTCCCAGTAGCATTTGGAAGTCTGTTTCTGACAAGCCAGTTACATCTTGGGACACTTGGGATGTGTCTCAGTTCATTCGGACTGCTATAATGAATTATTATAGACTGGGTGGCTTAAACAACAGACATTTATTTCGTACCCAGAGGTTAGAATTCCGAGATCAGGGTGCCAGCATGGTTGGGTTCTGGTGAGGACTGTCTTCCAGGTTTTAGATAACCAACTTCTCCTTGTATCCTCACCTGGTGGAACGAGGGCGGGCTAGCTCTCTGGCCTCTTATAAGGGCACTAATCCCATTTACGAGGTCTCCATCCTCATGACCGAATCACCTCCCAAAGGCCCTACCTCCAAGTATCACCTTGGGGATTAGATTTCAACAAATGAACTTTGGCGGCATGGGGCCGGGTGGGGGGAACGATACAAACATTCAGTCTGTAACAGGATATAAGAATTCTTTCTCTTAGAATTTGCTGTGCCTCAAAGACCTTTCACTTTTTCAAATGTCTTGCTTCAGGGAAATTTTCTTTGGCTTGGGTTACTGATCTGACTGGCACCACTTAATTTTATTGCATTTTAAAGCAGAGCTTATTTGCTAAAGTGATGGATTTTTTTCCAGAAAACCAGAAATTGTAGTGAATTATGTACAGTGTGCCCACTGTTTCAGAGTTGGCTGGGTTTATGCTTTGAAAAGCCATCATAGAGTAATTCTGAAAAACATACTAAAAATGAGAAGGCAAAGAATGCTGTTGTTAAGTGCAAGTGTGTAATTACTTAATAGGTTTTCTTGCTTTCTGATGACAAATTTGGCAACCCCTTCAGGGGTAGTCTATTAGGAAGTGTATTATCTATACCACATATCTGATGGTGGGTTACATGTTTTTTCTCCAGATCTTGCAAGTCTACCTACAGTGATGACTTAAAACGTGCTTCTTGCTTATTCCCCCTTTGAAGTACAAGTTCACTGGCTTGTTTGTGGTACAGCCTGTACAGCTCACTGGGACTTCTGGGGAAAGGGCACCATGTTCTGAATAATTCAATCAGTTATGTTCAGTGGGTGCTGAGGAGTAGCATAAGGATAGGAGATTCTAAGTTAATTAAGTCTTCTGTCACTCTTTATAATCATTTCATTTGGGGGAAGGTCTCAAAATGCATTGTATGTTGGTAGATGAAAAGGCACCTTGTCCTTGTTTTGCAGACTGGTAAGAATGATAGCCAAGGATAGGTCAAGGGCAAAGAGTAGTGGAGGGTGGTATATTTAGGCATTATAGAAGGTGAAATATGGCCTGTAAATATAAGCATACTTAGTGACGCTCCAGCTGCTGCTGCTGTTATTATTTATAGGGATTAAGTGCTCAGTGTATAAGGCAGAGGTCTAAGTGTTTAATGTATACTTCCCTAAGAGGTGGGTATTGGGACTTCCCTGGTGCTCCAGTGGGTAAGACTCTGCGCTCCCAATGCAGGGGTCCCGGGTTCGATCCCTGGTCAGGGAACTAGATCTCGCATGCCGCAACTAAAGATCCTGCACGCGGCAACGAAGATCCTGCATGCCACAACTAAGACCCGGCACAGCCAAACAAATAAATAAATACATACATACACACATACATACATACCCCCCTCAAAAAAAGAGGTGGGTAGTATTCTCCCCCATCTTAGAGACGAGGAAATTGAGTCACTGAAATAAAAAAAAAAAAATCCTTGCCCAAGTTCACATGGCATGTGTGTGAGTAGGGCTCAGCGCTCATGGCATCTGAGTTCAGAGCCCACTCTGGACACCTGTGGCACACTGCCCCCCGCCCCCCTTCAGGCCATAGGAGTAGCTGCTTGATGCTGATTTGCCAGTAGAAAAATAAATTTTAAAATCTTCAAAGTTAGAAGCTTTGATCCTCAGTTCTGATGTGGAATTATGCTGTTTTCTTTCTGCCTGAATTATTTTGGTTGTCAGCAGTAGCAGGAACTCACTCTAAAGGCTTGGCTGGGGTATTTAAAAGATGTGTGATAAACCCCTGTTTACTGAAAATAAAGGAGGTATGCTTAGAAGTAGGAACAATAGTTAATGCCTATAACCACATTTTCAGCGGTTCTGCCAGGGGGAATTGCGCTTCTGGCCGCAGCTGCTTCCAGTGTGTCGGGTGCTTGTACATTACTTCCCGATTTAGCAGTAAAAGAGCCGCTTGAAAAATGGAAGAAGGGGAGGGGGAGGGAATAATTCCAATTCATACTGGAAACTTTACATATATATTGTAGGCTCTATAAATTGATCTTAAATATCTAATTCAATTTTGATCAACTTTATTGAGAGGTAATTTACCTTTGATTAAAATTCACATTTTATATGTCCAACTTGATGAATTTTCACAGATACTTACAGTCATAAAACTACCACCCCAACCAAGATATAGAACATGTCTGTCACTCCAGAGAGTTTCCTCATATTCCTGTCCAGTCAGCCGTCCCACCCACACCCAGGCAACCACTGACCTTAGATGACTTTTACCTATTCTAGACTATCATATAAGTGGAATCATGCAGTATGTACTCTTGCATTTGGTTTTTTTTTTTAAGACTTTTTTTTTTTGATGTGGACCATTTTTAAAGTCTTTATTGAATTAGTTACAGTATTGCTTCTGTTTCATGTTTTGGTTTTTTGGTCACGAGGCATGTGGGATCTTAGCTCCCCGACCAGGGATGGAACCCGCACTCCCTGTATTGGAAGGAGAAGTGTTAACCACTGGACCACCAGGGAAGTCCCTTGCATTTGGTTTCTTGTGCTCAATCTGTTTTTGAGTTTCATCCATAGTGTTGTATCAGTTGTTCATTTTGAGTAGTATTCCATTGTAAGAATATACCACGATTTGTTTGTTCACCTGTTGATGAATATCTGGGTGGTTGCCAGTTTGGGGCTATAACAAATAAATCTGCTGTGAACGGTCAAGTACCATGTGGAAATATGCCTAGGAGTGGAATTGCAGGATCAGAGGGTAGGTGTATGCTTAACTTCAGGAGAAGCTGCCGAATTATGTTCCGAGATAGTTTCACCATTTTCTACTCCCACCACCACTATTTTATCTTAATTTATCAATACTTTGGAGTTAAAAAAACCCCTTCTGTTCCTGTTTTAGACCCATTTTCAAAGATGTTCAAGGTTCTCTGGACCTGGATGGGAGATTTTCTCCTTTGTATAAACAAGACAGTAGCAAGCTTTCAAACGAAGACATTCTCAAGTTGCTCTCAGAATACAAGAAGTAAGTGTTTGGGAGTTACTGCAGTAGATCAGTATAATAGATGAATTATAATTCCTTCAGATTCTGAACGTGAGTCATATATGGGAAAAATCAAATGCTTCGGAGCATTTGGATTTTGGAAGCGTTTGGGAGTTTGGATAAAGTGTAACCAGTGCACTTCTTAATCATATTTTTAAGTATAAAATATTCTTATTTTACATCTAGGCCAGAGAAGACCAAATTGCAGATTATTCCTGGGCAGCTAAACATCACAGTAGAATGCGTTCCTGTGGATTTATCAAGTAAGAACTTACATATTGCAAATAAGCCTACAGAGCTATTATGCTTGAATCTCAGGTTTTTATCTTCTCAGTGTTTTTCTTGAGGTTTACATGGTATATTCGTTTCCTAGGGCTGCTGTAAGAAAGTATTACAAACTGGGTGGCTTAAAACACAAATTTATTCTGTGGTTCTAGAGGCTAGAGGTCAAAATCAAGGTGTCAGCAGGGCCATGCTCCCTCTGAATGCTCTAAGGAAGAATCATTCCTCGCCTCTTCTAGCTTCTAGTGGCTGCTGACTCTCCTTGGCATCCTTTGGCTTGTAGTTGCATCACTCCAATCTCTGCCTCTGTCCTCACATGGCCTTCTATTAAGAACACCAGTCATTGGATTTAGGGCCCACCTTAATCCATTATCATCTCATCCTCCTAGCTAATTACATCTGCCAAGACCCTATTTCCAAGTAAGGTCACATTCTGAGCTTCTAGTGGACATGAGTTTTGGTGGGACGCTGTTCAACCCAGGACACGTGGTAAATAGTTACAGATTAGGAAGTGAATTGAGTTGATTTTATCAGGTGCTGTTTCATGTATTATATATGATGTTGTGAGTGTGCTCCAGTGAGTTTCTGCTCCTTTTGCCTTGGATGAGTTTCATCAACGAAGGGATCCAAAAGGAGGAGAATCTCTTTTCTTGTCTAAAGAATCTATGATCTCAGGAGACGCAAAAGACAATTTGCAGGAAATAAAATGACTTCTAAATCTTTTTAAAATGTCCAGTCTCAGTAATTATGCCACTAACACAAAGGTAAACATTTAAGCATTGGGATGTTTCTGTTCATCTATCAGATTTACAAAAATGAAGTGGAACTGTCTAATGCTGGCTAGGTTTTGGCCAGGCACCGTCCCCCATCACGAGTAGGAATACAATTTGGCAGTAGATATCCATGAATGTCCGTAACGAAGGCATTCCATTTCTGAGATTCTGTCTAGCCATTTATTCACCGAATAAGCATTTATTGAGTAAACTTTATTGAATACTTACCAGATGCTTTGAAAGTATGGAGATTACAGTCTAGAATGAATGACAGACATTAAACAAGAAAACAAATAAATGAATAATTTCAGTCTGTGGTTGGGCAGGCTGCTTTAAAAAGGGTGGCCAGTGAAGGCTCACCATGTGACCCCGCCAGCATGTGGTGATTGTGACTGTACATTCTGCTCTGAGGGTGTCACATATGTAAAGACCTTGAGCTGGGAGCTAGCTTGGTTTGTATGGACAGAAACGGAGCCAATGTGGCTCTAGTGTAGTGTGTGACGGGCACAAGGGAGAGTAGGAGATGAAGTAGGAGAAGTAGGAAAAATCACGTCACGTAGAGAATTGTAAAGACCGTGGTAACTCCTTAAAAGACTGAATTTCATTCCAAGTACCATGAGAAGTCACGAAAAGATTGAAGTAGGAGAGTGGCAATTGACATTTTAAGACATCTATCTAAGAGTACAATGGCTTATTTTTTTCCTAAAGAAATAATTTGAAGTGTAGACAGGAGTTTATGCATAAAGGTGTTCTTTGCAGTGTTGTTTATGTGGGGTGGGGGGATTTGGAAACAACCAGAGCCCAACACTGTCAGTGTGGTTAAGGCAGTTATGGTATCCAGATACCATGAAACCTCATGCAGCTATGAAAAATGATGTTTACAAAGAATTCATGAAATAAGACATCAGATAAAACGCCAAAAAAAAGCACAACAGGATAAAGTTCTGTATACAGTGGGATTTTTGTGTTGTTATATAAAACACGCATAGGAAGAAGACTGGAAGAAAATATGCCAGAAGAGTAGTAGTAGTTATCTCCGGGTAGTGAAATGATCACTTGTTTCTTTGTACCTTTACTCCGTACCTCCAGATATTCTGTTGTAAGTATCGCTATAATAGAAAGCCAAACCCAACGAAAAATATTGTGTCCTCAGGTCTGACTCTCCGGGGTCTTCCTTCTCCATCAGTATTGCTCTGCAGCAAGGACCAGCAGTCTTAGAGCCCCTTAAGTGTATGAATAACCTTTACTACAAGGGGCTACCTCAATAACATGTGCTGCTGCTACACCTCTCTGAGGCTTTGTGTTTTCCACTTTCGGGAGGATTGAATTTATTATTGGGAACACATCATAAGATTTGTAGTTTCAGAAGGCTGCCATTATTTCTTAAGTGAAAATTTGCACCTGCACCAAGTTAACTTTTTAAGAGTGACTAGCCATGAGCTAATTGGCATAAATTTACTGTTACTTCCCTGATACCAGTAGAAATTTGCAGTGAAAGCTAAATTGCAGTCACAGGAGGAAAAATGTAATGGATTTCTTTGCAGAGTTTAAATTTGTCAAAATTATGATGTGTTATATTTGGCAAATCACTCGACGTTGAGAATGAAATAGCAATCCACGTCTGGTTTGAAGGGTTTCACTAAAACCAGCATCAGGCTACTTACTCCTACTTGCTCTTCTGGGTCCTTAAAGTGCTTGTGTAACTTTTTGTCAATCACTAAGAATTCTGTTTGTTAAACTGCTCTCTGAGAACACAAATCATGTATATTTTTATAAATGCAGGCATGTGTTAATGATTGTTACATCTTTGCCTGTTCTTTTTTCTGCTACAGACTGTATTACGTCTTCATATGTGCCCCTGAAGCCTTTTGAAAAGAATTGTCAAAATATTACTGTGGAAGTTGAAGAGTTTGTGCCAGAAATGACAAAATATTGTTATCCATTTACCGTTTACAAAAACCATCTATATGTATACCCCTTGCAGTTAAAATACGATAGCCAGAAAACATTTGCCAAGGTACACAGTGTAAACTAAACGTTTTGGGGTGTAAAATGTTATTTATAATTTTGTTTTGTCACTCATTTTGAACGATGAATCATTTTAGGCAAGGAACATCGCGGTCTGTGTGGAATTCCGGGATTCGGATGAAAGCGACGCTAGCGCTGTAAAGGTTTGTTTGTGATATTGATAAGCATGCATTTTTAGTAGAGATAGAGATTTTGGTACGCGGTAGTTCTGTATGCTAAGTTTAATGTGTTTAAATGTCGAAGAGAATGTACTAATGCGACAAATGTTACATCGTCTTCTCTACTCTCACACATTAACTATAAGAATGCGTTAAATACTAAGAAATAACAGAATGGGTTAGGAGCATATATAGCTTTAAAAATGGGTAAGCTTCATATGCCAGATTTTTGCCTTTGCCCCACTTTGATTTTGCATTGCTCCAATGCCCAGTCACAAGGTCGTTTTCTCGTGACCTGACAGCTTATAACGGTACCATCAGGGGAGTTTAAACTCCTTTCTCCTTGAAACCTGAACGGGCTTCGAGCTGACAGAAGCACAGCATAACTGCTTTGATCTGAGATATGACTTCTCGTCTGTGGCTGGCCAAATGGTGCCTCCAAACTTGAATTAGTGATCCACGAAAAGCATCTCAGCATTATCTGATACCGCAATCCTTAAATACCTGTCACTTCACAGTGCCCTTGCATTTTCACTCTTTATAGCCGCTTTTTACTTTTGGCCCTTTAGCCCATAGCCCATTAATCAGAGGCCTGAGAGAGAAGTCAGACCGTCTAGCCATCACAGAGTGTTTATCTGGCTTCCCAGCTTCTCTAGCTTGAGCCTAAATCGGACAGATGGATGGCAAATCTTCCACTTAAACCACCTCGGGAAAGAGGCTGGCATAGCCCCAGTTAAGTCATTGAATGGTTAATAGCTCTGACCCTTGAAAAGAGAGTTTTTTCACAGAGAAAGCTAGGTTAAATTAAGAATTAGCTGGCTCAAATGAGGTGTATGTTCTCTGATTCTTCCTTCAGTGGAGATGAGAATAACATTTTCTTCGCCCCCATGCGGTATCCTTTTTTTTTTTAAACATCTTTATTGGAGTATAATTGCTTTACAATGGTGTGTTAGTTTCTGCTTTATAACAGAGTGAATCAGTTATACGTATACATATGTTCCCACCTCTATTCCCTCTTGCGTCTCCCTCCCTCCCACCCTCCCTATCCCACCCATCCAGGCGGTCACAAAGCACCGAGCTGATCTCCCTGTGCTACGCGGCTGCTTCCCACTAGCTATCTATTTTACATTTGGTAGTGTATATGTGTCCATGCCACTCTCTCACTTTGTCCCAGCTTATCCTTCCCCATCCCCGTGTCCTCAACTCCATTCTCTACATCTCTATCTTTATTCCTGTCCTGCCCCTAGGTTCTTCAGAACCATTTTTTTTCTTTTAGATCCATATATATGTGTTAGCATACGGTATTTGTTTTTCTCTTTCTGACTCACTTCACTCGGTATGACAGACTCTAGGTCAATCCACCTCACTACAAATAACTCAATTTCGTTTCTTTTTATGGCTGAGTAATATTCCATTGTATATATGTGCCACATCTTCTTTAGCCATTCATCCGATATCCTTTTTGTATACTTAAAGATTCTTAGGTTACCTCTCCGCAGTGCCTGCAAATTGCCTCCATGACCATATTTAAGGAGAGCTGGCGTTGCACTCACGTGGAGTGTCACTTTCATTTCTTAGCTGGCCCGGAGGCTAGCTCCGAAGTACCCGAGTGAGGCAGTTAGGACCTTGGCACAGTGACTCCATATATTCATCCTTGAACTTATTAGGCCTATGGAACTGAAAAGCTCACACTAGAAATGAAATCGGATCTTTCCATGGAACCATAGAAAGCCTTCCATTAATTTTATTGGTGTAACAGCAAGCTGGTGACTCTTAAACTGTGGCTCATAAAGTGAGAGAACAGTAAGCTAGTGTGTAGCTTAATGGACATTCAGTTTCTAATTCCTCGAGGCTAGGAATGGGTCTGCTGTTGGTTCTATTTTGTTAACTCCTCGCCTTACCCACTGCACAGCGAGCATTCAGCAAATGTTGCTGAGCGACTGAAGGGGAGCTTCTCATACTAAGAAGTGCAAATAGCACGAGAGAAGTAAGCTTTCCAGGCCTGGTTGGAGAGTGTTTCCCTTCCAAATGATTAGAAGTGTTCAGCCTCTTACTGTCAGCTAGGTCGGAATTATATTTCTCAGATGGCCGGAAATTCAGAAGCATCCATGCAGCCAAGTAAGGCGATGTCTGGGGTGGTGTCTGGAGTGACTGTAAATGATTTGGAATTTACAGGTTCATGGTGAGAGCTGGGTGGGCTTGGCCGTGACCCTGGGCTCACAGATGCCTCTAACTGTATGTGGTTCCCTAGCATCATGTTTAAAGAGTGGCATTGAGAGTGGTGACTCTGTTTCCTTCTTTTGCAGTGTATTTATGGAAAACCTGCGGGGCCTGTTTTTACCACAAACGCTTATGCTGTTGTATCGCATCACAACCAAAATCCAGAGTTCTATGATGAGGTAAAGCGTGTTATTTTGACGTTTACAAAACCCAGTGGTGGATCTTCTTTTTCTCTTTGAATCATTTCCAATATTGTGTCTGCACTTTCACTCGCTGAATGTTTTGCCCCGTGAAAATAGAAAATGTCACTTCAGAACGAGGGGCCACTGCCTGCTTGGTGCCCTTTGGTGACAGTGGAAGATTGGCCCACAAATTGAAGGGGCTCTGGCGTGAGATAACGTAGGAAACAGACACCACACTGGAACGGGGACTCTAGCCCTTACTTTGACAACAACTGGCTCCGTGACCTTGAGCAAGTCACTTCCTCTTTCTGAGTCTCCATTTCCAAAGCTTTAAAATAAGAAATTTAGAAGGGATTTTCTGAAGGCCCTTTTAGCTCTTTCTTCCTGTGGTCCTGCGTGGAAGGGTGCAGCCTCTCTGTAAGTGAAACGCTCCGAGAGACACAGCGGCGTGGCTGGGTCCCCAGAATCCCACTGGCTGCGCTGAATGCCTCAGCGCAATGTAGACAGAGGGGGCTGGCGCGGTCTCCCGGCCTCCGAGCGCCCTTCCTCAGTCTGCCTTTCTGACCCTGTCCCTGCCTCTTTCCTCCTTCCCACTTCTCTAGCTCTGTGTCTCTGTGTCCTTTCCAGTGTCTCTCTTAGTGTCTCTGTCACAGCCTCTTCTCGTCTACGTGTAGCCGGCTTATCCAAATCCGCAGACTGCTTTTGATGGCTACGTGTCTCCATGGAACCCGGATGCGTATCCCAGGCCAGAAGCTCTGCTGTTTCTGCTTCTCAGGTTCCACGTCTCCATCCCTGGCTTGGTCTGAAACCATCCCCCCTGCTGTCCTGATTTCCCCAGGCCCAGCTGCTGTTGTATGGAGGCCTTAAACCCCAGCCCGAGGCTCACTCATTCCTTCTCAGTCCAGTGCCCCTACTTTCTCCGGGGATGGAGAGGAGGGCAGTGGGACTTTGCATTTTCGCCACCCAGGGAGGGAGTATGTCCATATTGATGTGCAGCAGAGCATTAGATACCCAGATGGTCTGGATGCTGTGAATAGGCATATTCTGTGGTGAAATATACCTACAACAGAAATTAGTTATAACACCAAAACCACGCCTTGTGTGAATGATAATTAGGCCAGATGTCCCATCACCAAGCTGTTTAATCCGTCCCTCTCTATAACCAGTGTCAGTCACTAGAGAAAACTTGTTCATGTAGTAAGTAGTCCACATTATCTTTAGGAAATGGACTTTTCAAGCATTCACTATATATTAACCAGGAAAGTGAGTGTGAGCGTGTGTGTGTGTTTGCATGTGTTCCTGTGCAAGTCCACGTATGTGTGTTAAATCAATTAAATCTGTAATCTCTCTGCCATACGCTTCCCAGGAGGCATTACAAACAGGCAGTTGGGTTCTGACTGGAGAAGTACTTGCAATGCTTGTTTTAAAGTATTAATTTTTAGTGTTAAATTCGTGTGTCAGGACGATACTTTTTATTTATTCAAGAGTAAGGTTGTGTTCTTCTTCTGAAGAAATTTATGTACACTGTAATTTGCGGATCCCGTAATACCACAGTGACTTTTTGCACGTTTATTTGTAAAGGCTTAATTTTTCCTTCATGCAGAGGAGGGCAGTGATGTCGAAAAAAGCAGCCTTTCAAATTCAATGCACATTGTAGATGGATTGCATTCACTGACTCACACTGAGTTACAGAGTATCCCTGGGCTGTAAGGATGTGGTTTTGATCCAGTGTTTCAGAAAATCCTGCTGCCAAGTTGAATCCAGGAGAATCCACTGGAGTCTCCAGCAAAAGTAATAAATCAGCCCTCACAACCCAAGAGAATATTGTTGTCAAACTGTGAAACTGACCAGAAAAGCATTTGGAATATATTTAAATCATAGCTATTATTTGACCACTTGGCTTGTGATTTAGAAAAGTATGTCATTGGAAAAGTATGATGAAACAGAGCTAAAGGTCTGACAGTCCAGCTTGACAATGAAAACAAAACGCTATGTGTAATTTTGCTTTCATTTCAGATTAAAATTGAGCTTCCCATTCACCTGCATCAAAAACATCATTTGCTTTTCACTTTTTATCATGTAAGCTGTGAAATTAACACAAAGGGAACAACCAAAAAGCAGGATACAGTTGAAACTCCAGGTACGTGTGCTCTTTAAATGCCTCTCTCTAGAGCTATTTGAAACGGAGTTGTCTTGGCCATATATAACCTCTTTTCATCGAGGTACAGACCACTTCCCCTCACCAAAAAGTACATTTCTGAGTTAAAAGTTCGTTGGTGAAAGATGAATTATATGTTCGTTTTATCCATTATTTCTACCCAACGTCACGTCCAAATGCTTGCCAGTGTACTTAGACTATCATAGGCAACGTAAAGTAATATTGCCCCTCTCAGAGAGAAACCCATATTATGATGCAGTGTTTTTGTCATTTCTTTCACGTAGAATAGCCCAGCAACCAGAATTTTCCAGTTCTGCTCACTGAGAAGAGGGACATGAGCCCAGAGCCATGGGCGTTTTTGAACCTGAGGGAGATTGGGGTTCTAGTGAGAGGAGGACAGGTTTAACGAACTTGAATAAGCTTTGGTAGTAAAGCTCCAGTCATGATCTCATTCAGCAAGGCTTTGGATAAGCCAATGGGAAGCATCCTTAGGAGAACATAGAAGGCCCTAAGAACATGGCCTGTGCCACCCCTACCATATCAGTATCAGCACGCCCTGGGATTCAGATCCAAGCTAGCCTGGACCAATCTTTATTTTATTTATTTAATTAATTATTTTTATTTTTTATTTTTTTAACATCTTTATTGGAGTATAATTGCTTTACAGTGGTGTGTTAGTTTCTGCTTTATAACAAAGTGACTCAGTTATACATATACATATATCCCCATATCTCTTCCCTCTTTTTATGGCTGAGTAATATTCCATTGTATATATGTGCCGCGTCTTCTTTACCCATTCATCTGTTGATGGACACTTAGTTTGCTTCCATGTTCTGGCTATTGTAAATAGAGCTGCAGTGAACATTGTGGTACGTGACTCTTTTTGAATTACGGTTTTCTCAGGGTATATGTAATCCCAGTAGTGGGACTGCTGGGTCATATGGTAGTTCTATATGTAGTTTTTTGAGGAACCTCCATACTGTCCTCCCTAGTGGCTGTATCAACTTACATTCCCACCAACAGTGCAAGAGGGTTCCCTTTTCTCCACACCCTCTCCAGCATTTATTGTTTGCAGGTGTTTTGATGATGGCCATTCCGACTGGTGTGAGATGGTATCTCATTGTAGTTTTGATTTGCATTTCTCTAATGATTAATGATGTTGAGCATTCTTTCATGTGTTTGTTGGCAATCTAT